CAACCCTAAACGTGTGAGAAAGCACATAAAAAAAAATACGTGTCTCTTATTTTGAGCTACTTTACAACATATTTAAAGCTCGTCAAAATCGGAGGGGGACACTTAGGTCCCTTTCCTTGTAAGTGTTATCTGTTCCAATGCAAAGTGCATAATAAGAAATTCATATGAAAACTTTTATTTTAATTAATAAAATTAATGAAACTTTTTTTTCAGCCGTATTTAGCAATAGATATTTTTCTACGGATTTATTAAGAAATTGTATGTAAATTTGAAATTAAAATAAATTTAATATATAAATTGCAGAATAAATATTGTTTAAGATTTCTTTAAAAAATAAATTAAAAGGAAAATAAAACGATTAATCGATTTTTCGATTTCTTTTTAGTAATATAATCGACACTTTTATGAGTTTTTTTTCTTTTACTCAATATTAAGAATATCGAGTTATTTTTGAAAATCGCCCATCCCTAGTATACAGGCACTGCAGCTGCAAGCGAGCCGTAAGTAGATAAGTGTAACGCAGTAGTTTTGCGCGAAAGATCCACCGCCTTCTAGCGCTGGATCTAATTATATTGTTGTTCTATTTTCTTTCTACTGCCCAGAAGAAGTGCGTGAATTTTTCTCTGGAGCAGAATAAACTTACTTTTACAAAAGCACTATCGCGTTTTACATTAAGTGAACCACACCTCTCTACATGAAATTTATGAATATTTCCAACAGAGAATAGTAAAGAAAAGAAAAAATTTATTTCTTTGATTGAAAAACATGGTTCAAAGCGTAAATCTGTAATTGGTAGATCTAGATTATTAAATCTTTTACATCTGACAGCTAGACACTTTCCTTCTTATATTGAAAAAGATGAAAATCATCCAGCAGAGCAAAAAAATGTATTGTTTGTACTACAGGAGCGAAAAAAATATCAAACAAAAAATCTAGATTTGAATGTAAAGAATGTAACATCGGGTTCTGTGTAAGTGATTGTTTTGAGAATTATCACACAAAAACAAACTTTTAGTGCATTGTTATTTACTAAAATCATCATTTCAAATAAAAATTAAAAAAAAACCCGTCTTGAAAGGAGTAGATATACTAGGGGGGTTCTAACCCAGGAGCAATGAGTGGGGTGCGGGTAAAGAGGGGAAGAGTTTGAGGGGGCGGGGGTAATTTTGGAGGAGAGAGGGTAATGACGTCATTGTTTCGGAAAAGAGGAGGTAATTTTGGAGTGGAAGAGGTCGTTTTGGAGGAGAGGGGTAATGTTTTCTTAAAATTGGAGGGGATAATGTTTGGTATCAGATTACAGGGGGGTATCAGGTTACACAAAGGCGGTAATTATTTTTCTTAGAATTGGAGGGGGTAATGTTTGGTATCAGATTACTCATCGCTATTTTTAGAACAAAAGCCCTTAGCAACAGGCAACCGTCATCGTTATTTTTAGAACAAAAGCCCTTAGCAACAGGCAGCCGTCATCGCTATTTTTAGAACAAAGGCCCTTAGCAACAGGCAGCATTTGGCGCCGTCACCGCTATTTTTAGAGTTTGCATGTTCGTGCAGGTTTACGGATCGCTATTTTTAGAATACAGTCATTGTTATTTTAGAATAACAAGCGGGATATATAAAGCAAGTGAGAAAAATATGAATCTTCAAAGTCATTCGCAATGGAGAAGGAGCGCGATCTTACCGTACGAGCAGCGAATATCAAAACGTTGGGAGAGTTCCTCCCATGGGACTATGAGTGCGATGAGTACCTCGATTCTCTGAGGGAAAAATGTAGCAAAAAGCAACGAACCGGAGTAATTCACTCTTTGGTGGCGCAAATAGTGCGTTTAAAGGGTGTGAGGAAGACCATTCAAGAGCGTTTTCTACCCATCGGCGGCGGATACGGAACCCAGAGAAGATTCACCTGGAAAGAAATCGAGACGGCCTTCAAGAATCGAATACTAATCGGTTATCAATTCCGACTACATCGATCCACGCGAATTTTTGGAAGAGATAAGAAATACGATCATCGAGCGGATCCAAAGCGTCAAGGTGGAACACAACAGCGTCAAGGTCAACACCGCGTTCAACGGGGAATTCATCGAAGGCGACAAGACTGCCGTAAAGACCATTGCAACCAAGAACCGCGAGCTATTTCCAACAACCGATGTACAAGAGTGGTACACGAAGCATATGGTTGACGTCATCCTGGCGTCTTTGGAAGAGTTTCAAGAACGCGACAGCGGATGGGCATTGTCACGTATCTTGGACCTCACCATTAACATCAACAAATTCAATCCTCTACGCGCGGGATGCCACATTCAGTTACGGAAAATTATACTAAAAAGGGCGGTGGTCAACGTGCAAACAGCGGACAATGCGTGTTTTGCGTGGGCAGTTGTCGTCGCTTTACATCCAGCGGAAAAACACCTGGAAAGAACAATCGAATATCCACACTATTCAACGGTACTGAATCTGTGTGATATAGAGTTCCCCATGACACTTCCGCAAATATCAAAATTCGAGAAATTGAACACTATCTCCGTCAACGTCTTTACCACCGAAGACTCCAAAATCATCCCTTTGCGCCTCGCCGACGACAAGATGGAGAAGCATGTCAACCTTCTCTATGTGCCTGGAAACAACGAGGCACACTTTGTGTGCATCAAGGATCTGTCTCGGCTAATGAGTTTACAATTAAACAAGAAAAGATGTAAGAAGTACATTTGCGATCGGTAAATAAAAAAAAAAATACACGTATACAATTTTTATTCATAATGTTAATCATACAATTTATTACAGGTGTCTACACTATTTCCAGACGAGTGAGAAATTGTCAGTCCACAGCATCG